GAATAGTCCATTTGTATGGATGTCTGGAAGCAAGAGAAGGCTATTAAAGTATATTTGTGTGATGTCATATACATTTATAATGATATGGAAGCTGAAGAATTCTTGGATTCTTCTGCATTTCTGTTGGCGCTGTAGGACAAGGGGGTCAATGGGGTTCTGGCCAATGAAGGCCAGATGGCACAATTGCCCTGGGGCAGGACTTTCTCGTTCCTTGGCAAGTATTTTAAAAATGTTAAGAGTATGTCTACATTATGATTAAAACTCCTACAGCACCATATCTCAGAGCCTTGATCAGCTCACTATAAAATTGTAGACATTTGGGCTAAGGCTGGAGGCCACTTCTGAGACCCACTCCCTTCACCAGGGGTCTCTTAGAGTATAGACATCCTGAGAGCTTCCTAAAGTACCTATTTTTCTGGGTGTTCTGTGGATAAATTATTTAATTATTTTATTATGTTTGTGCCTTACTTGGAAGTTAAGCACTGTAACTGTAAAAGAGTATTAAATCCTTCAAAGACTAATTATTAAAATAAATGCATTTCTTTCGTTTTGACTGGGACCAGGATTAAAGAATCCAAGACTGTGATATATTCACATTATGCAGATCATATCACATGCAGCATTCTCATAATAGCATAAACAGTGGGAGATGTACAGTACCTAGTATTTTGATTTTAATCTCTTTCCTGCAGAGTTTGTGTACTCCTGTGAATTAGTATAGTGTTTAACACACTGAGACTTGATTTTTTTTGTTTTGTTTGAGTCCTTGAATGCTACTGCTAAACAAATAACAAATCCTACATTTAGGTTGGTAGGGTCTCTTGAATTTCCCTCACTCTGATGTATGCTACTGAAATAAGTAACTTGTTTATTATTATAATGTAACTTAAACTAACTTGGTTTAAATCAACTTGGAAACAAAAATCAATATTTGTGCAAGGAAGGCCTTCTACAAGAAACAGTGTACAGGCAGTCCCCGGGTTACGTACATGATAGGGACTGTAGGTTTGTTCTTAAGTTGAATCTGTATGTAAGTCGGAACTGGCGTCCAGATTCAGCCGCTGCTGAAACTGACCAGAGGCTGACTACAGAAAGCCCGAGGCAGAGCTTACATTTTGATTTAATTTTATAAGTATATAAAATTAACATGGCACTAAGTGGAATAAAAACTTACTAAATGGTAAGTCTCAAAATGTAAATGTAAACAGGGAGTAATCATATGTGGGTCTGTTTCCAGTAGGGTTCCACAGGGATTGGTTCTTGTCTTTGTGCGATTTAATGTCTTTATCAATCACCTGGAAGAAAACACAAAATCATTCACCGATAAAGTTTGCAGCTAACACAAAAATTGGGGGTGGATAATAAATAATGAAGAAGACAGGTCACTGAATCAGTTCAATCTAGATCACTTGGTAAACTGAATGCAAGCAAACAATATGTGATTTAAAATGGCTGAATGTAAATATCTACAAACATAGACCCCCATTATGGTGTTCTGTTCTGAGCAAGCCACTAGATGTCAGTAATGATCCAAAGTCTTTTCTGCTAAAGGACTCCATTTATTCATGAGTACTAGAGTACTCCTTTCTATTTAGAATCTTGTCTGGTTACTAGGGAGACATAAGGGTTTTTTAACACTTTTGATGATGAAAATGTATGAGTGAAGGAATTACTTACCAATCACTGTTCAATAAAATTTTGTGCAAGGGGAAACAACTCCCCAAAAATAACATTTACAGGAATGTATTATGTTCTCTTACAAAAACACAGGATGCACCACATAGGATTTTATTTTTTTGGGGGGGATGTCCAACATCTTATTATTAGTTTCCTTTTTGGGGGGGGAGGGATGTCCAACATCTTATTATTAGTTTCCTATTTTTCTCCTGCACCTTATCACAAAGGGCAGCTTGCAGCTCTGCTGGTTTTTCCTGACTTCCTAGGGAAGAGATGTGTCTGACCTAAAAGTATCCTTATTGCTTCAATTTCCTTTGATTCCTTTTGTCTTCATAAGGAATCCAGTAGGTGGCAATAGCCTAGAATTGGAAATTATGCTCCATGCATCAGGCTGTTTACATGAATCTGAAATGGCAGCCTGAGGTGCTTTCCTGGCCAAACACATTCTGGATCAAAATTAAAGATTCTAAATGGACACAGTCTGCTCTTAGACCAGGAATTAGAAAGATACATTTAAAAATAACACATTTAATTAAGAAGATAAACCATTATAACAGTTACTTCTGCTGTAGTTCATTTTGCAGAAATCTCTATTATAGACCCTTGCTTTTTTCAAATTATCAGAAAATTATGAAACACTCACTTTTGTGGCTGAAATTTTCCATCCATCAAAGGTTGAGACTAACTTCTCACCCCCATTCTGCTCCACAATATAAAATAATGTGACTAAATACAGATGCCATTTCTGAGTTGAGGGCAAAAAATACTTTCTCCTTTATGAAAATCTGTTTTTAATCAGACTACAACAACCCACCTGAAGTTTGGCATATGTACTTGATGTGAATTTAGCCCTGGTTGAGGACCAGCATATTGCCATGTACTCAGAAAAATATTGATTTTATTTTACTGAAGTTATAATTTGAACATCTGCATGATTTAATTAAGTACACATTGAAACATTGCTAAGAAGTGTTGTTTGACAACAGTTTTGTGAAAAATGAAAATGCCGCTTCCTGTTGCTGATGATGTGAACGGCAGTGATAGCTTTAGCAGACTGAACTGAGTCAGTTTATGTGCTGTTAAGGAACTAAGCTTTTATGGAGCTCAGTTTTATAGAGATCCAGAACTTTTAGACAGATTTGGAATGAATTCTTGTATAACTTTCTGTGTGTGTTATTACTCTGATTCAGGCAGTCACATAAGGTGTGGAAAAGAATGAAATAATTGTATGGTAGGATCTTTCTGTTTAAATGGCATTTCTGGCAGAAATGGTTTAATTAGAGAGGAATTTCAGAAGTAGACCCTCTAGGGTGCAAATTCAAGATATAAACTGTATTTAACTGTATTTAACTGTATGTATCTGATCCATGGTTATTACCACAAATGCACACAGATACAAAATTACAATATCATTTGTTGTAACCTAAATATATTGGGAGGGGAGGGTTTATGGGGGTGACAGTTTCACAACATACATGTACTAAAGCTGGTATTTATAATATGAGGTTGACTTTCTCTTTTTGTTACCAGATCAGATCCAAGCAATGAAGACATGAGAGGCCAGTAAGATAAAAGACCTGTCATACATTAACTTTGGCAGTAGATGTACAAGCTCCTGGAACCCCAAGAAAGACCTCAAAGAATCAAAAATCTAAATACAGTGCATTCTGTTGTTTCCTTTCATTATCTTTTACAAGGGGCCAAGAGAAGTAAACTTTTTAGAAAATGTAGTGCCTCAGGTATGTACATACATGAATTAAATTAAATCTTTGCTAAGTCTGAAGAGAATGCTAAAGTTAACACATTATTAATAAATAAGCATCCTCCATCCTTTAAGTTTTATTGTGAAATACAGTTTTAAGCTTCTAATACATCATTTAATATATCCAGATTTTCAAAGTTATTAATGATTTCATGTGCCACCATAATGTTTTGCATATTGAACTTTAGACATCTTGCAAAGAAGCCTTTTTCAGAATATGGATGTGCAGCATTTCTTGAAAATGTCCCTGTAAGGTGTCTCAGGAAGGGCACTCAAAATCAGTAGTCATTTCTGAAAATCTTGTCTACTGGTATTAGTTTTTTAAAGTATTTTTGTAACGTTGTAGGTTAAAATGTGGTATGTGTTGGTTAAAAATGATTGCAGATGTTTTTAAGGAATAGCTTGTATTGTAATGCAACAGCTGTACACACACTCCTCTCAATAAAATATAAATATAAGATATACATGTTGTTTTGAAGCTGAAGTGTATTTCTGTTGTGGCCTTTTGATGGAGCTCAATTTTGAATTGTTACAACAAAATTTTAGATTAAATTGTCTTCACTGAGAATAACAGAATGATTCTACTACAACATTCCAAACTTCCTTTGCATAAAGCAGTGTTAGATTTACTTCTCTTTGTTAAACTTTCATATAAGCTACACCTCTATGTAGGGATGTAAGTGACTAGTTGACTATCTGATAAGCAAAAGCTTATCAGATAGTTGACTAGTCCCTCGACTAGTTGCTCCCCTCCCCCCCGCTGCCTCTTGTCAGAGGCAGCAAGGTTGGGAGAGCAGTAGCAGATGCTGGGGGGAGCTGGCTTAAAAGCCAGTTCTCCTAAGCATTGTCTCCAAGGGGGGGGCAGAGGAGTCAGGGCGGTAGTGGGGACTAGGTGCAAGCCAGGAATCAGCTGATTCCCAGCTCGTCCCCAGTCCCAGATGCTGTACCTCTGCTTTGGAAATGTATTAAGAGTCTGCCGGTTCTTAATACATTTAAAAGGCAGCTTGGAAATGTATTAAGATTCTGCCGGTTCTTAATACATTTAAAAGGCAGCTTCCTCACTTATCAACTAGTTGATGGAAAATCCATCGACTAGTTGATTAAATTTCACAACCCTACCTCTATCCCTGCACTTCAGGAAACTGCCTTTGAAACCTGCATTTTGAAGATGTAATTTGTCCAGCCCAATAGCACATTATTTTCTTCCTATTATTATATAAAGTATCTTTTTACGTATCTAGTATGGTGGCCTAAATTGTTTCACTTAGATTTGTTTCTGTAAATTAGCTGAATGGAAAAATACCCCAGCTAGCAATTTAAGTTGATTTGCTCATGCCTAGGAAAATGTCTCTGTGTGAGTAAAAATAATCCAGAATTGTGGAAGGGCAGCACAATATTTAGTGATATTTGAATGTATTGGCTTTAGTAATTGGTGTGAATGACTAAATTATGAGGGCACATCAGTACCGAATTCTTACGACAGATTTCCTCCCGTCATTTTCATTTAAAATAACATATAAAATAGGAAGTGCTTCTCTGGGAAATTAGAAGCCTCACTTCACAAAAAAATGTTTGGAGCAAAGGGAATAGCTTCACATATATTACCAGCTAATTAAACAACAGAACCTAGTACTAGCTCAGCCTGTTCATTACAGGAAACTAAATATTGATATACAGATGTTCTTACTATAGCCTTATCTACACTTACCAGGAGATTAGTGCTGTGAGGATTGATCTCTACAGGAGCCAGTTTAGCAGGTTTAGTATAGATCTGCTAAATCAACTTCTGATCATGCTCTCATTGATTCTGGTACTCCACTGGATTGAGAAGTGTAAGGATCCCTCACAGTGGTTTCACTGCAGTAACTTGGTCTCAGGTATGTCGATTCCAGCTACACTATTCATGTAGCTGGAGTTGCATACCTTAAGTTCAACATTGCCCCCTTGTGTAGACCTGGACTGTGAGACAAAGCTGAGGAATATTTTATTCCTGATACTTCCTCTTGTCCAAACAATGCCTATCCTCCATACTATCATATATTACTGAGGCTATGTCTACACTGCAATAAAAAACCACAGTACTGAGACTGGGTTAGCTGGGTTGGACTTGTGGGATTTGGGCTACAGTGGTAAAAACGGCAGTTTAGATGTTTCAGCATAGCTTGGAGGATTGGCTCTGAGACCCTGTGCTACTGTGTATATAACCAATTTGTCTTGCATTCAGGTAATATATGAATATAAAAGGAAAACTCTCTGTGGGGATGTAATTTTCTTGGTTCACCTATTTTTTAAATGAAATCTTGTTTTGAAGTGTTTTAGTTATAACTAAACATAACATTAAAGCCAAAATTGCTGAAAGAAAGTTTAAGACCCCATATCGTATAGTTCAGTGGTTCTCAAGCTTTTTGACCCATCGACCATTTGGCTCATTGCAAACCTTTCCGTGGACCACTAGTTGCTAATGGAAACTGACCCTTAATTACATAATTACACCCGAACCATTTTGCTACTGCTGCAACTAGAGAGAATGGCTTAATTTAAATTGTAAAGAACCATTTTGCTACTGCTGCAGCTAGAGAGAATGGCTTAATTTAAATTGTAAAACAAATTAAGCATTTTAACTTTGTCATGTTAGTTTATCAAACTTCATTTTAAATAAAGTAAAATATTAATTTATATCCAACACTAAAGGTTTCAATGTTTTCTTTATTTATGATAGGGATTGAGAACCTTTTTTAGGTCGAGGGCCACTGACCCACAGAAAAATCAGTTGGGGACCATACAAGTGAGAAGCAAAAAAACTTCCAAAAATCCCCAACCCTCGCTGATATGGCCCCCAACTGAGACACCTCACTTTGCCACTCCAGCCCTACAAGGCGAAGGGAAGAGACAGTGAGCAGTTTAATCTGCCTCTCTTCACAAGCCGGGTCTGGCGGGGAAGATCGGGGCTTTCTTCACCTCCTCCCACTGCGTCTTCTGAGCCAGAACTTGGAGCTGTTGCTGCCTCCTCATGGCTGCACGGAGACCACAAGGCTTGAGCAGGAGCCCGGGATCCCACCTGCCTGGGAGGGAGCGCTGAGCTCATGCCACGGACCACCTGGGAGATGGCTATGGACTATTAGTGGCCCACAGACTGCACTTTAAGAACCACTGGTATAGCGGAACTGGGTATGTGTCTTTCTTGCTTAAAATGTCTGATTAGACATTGATGTTCCCCTTCTTGGATAATATCTACTCTTTAAAATACCTAAGTTTTACTTTCTGTAATTGGAACTGCATTTGCTCTGTTACAGGAATCTGCTTGCTAATTTTTTTTTCTAGCTCCCAAAGAAAGGCAACTCTTACTGCTTTCACTTCCTCCCATGCAGGTTACCTTGTGAACTGCATGGATACATCTCCCCAATCTTCTGCCTTGATGCGCAGATGTTTTTTGCAGCAACACGTTCAGGGTTTTTTCATTTAACAGTTCGTTCCATCTTCTCCTCCTTCCATCTTGGCCTTAATCTGTAGAGAGAGGTTTTCTGGACAGCAAGAGCTAGGCTCCCTTTTCCTAGTTATTTTCCTTCAATCATTGAGAGATCTGTTTGGCAACAATCCCCAGATTCTTCAATCATTGAGAGATCTGTTTGGCAACAAACTCAAGTCTTCTATTCTAATGTTTGGCTCCAGGCACTGACACTTTCGATGTGAACTGCACAACTCCAGAAAGAATGAGTGACTGTATGTTAAGATTAGAATTGACTACATTAAAATACCCCCTAAGCTAAGTTCCTTCTAAACTGTGCAGCTATTTTCTGAGCCCTGCTGAGAGGTTCAAAGCTCCTGTGCAGGCAAAGAGCTCAGCTAACTGGCGGGGGGTGGGGACGGTCATCTAGCTAAGCAGCAGCTAAATGGAGTTATGCTGTTGAACTAAAGAGTTCCTAAAGCAGATAAGAAGGTGATATAAGCAGGGAATAAGTGGCTGTGGGAGTGAATGAGTGAGTAATTCATTAATTGGCTTGGGGGAAATTCGGGGAGAGGGGAGAGAGTCCCATCTACCCAGAGAGAGAGAGGCAGTGGCAGAAACCCAGCCATCTCTTCAACCCTCTTGGGCTGGGAAGGGGGAGATAAGGGGATGACTGCATGGGGTAGGTGGGGGAAAGATGCGGGTGGGTGGGTGCTGACATCTGTATAGTGAGATGCAGGCAGGGGGCAGTTTATTAGGGGTGTCCTGATTCACTTGCTGCAGTCCTCTCTGGCTGGCTGGGTTGGAGGGAGAGGGGAAAAGAGACTGCATGAGTTGTGCGTGTGCCAGGAGGACATTTGCATGATTTCCTTTCAAACAAAGTTTACATAGGTGTTAATGGCTTATGGTAAGGGAGATTTTTTTTAACAGATTTTTGTTTGTTTGTTGCAGATATCTGAAACTCTGATCTTAATTATTTTTTTAAAAAATCCTGTGTAACTAATTAATACATGGTACATTTTGTTGCATTAAAGCCAGATCTTTGCTGGAAGTAGCAAGTGCTAGGTGTGATGCTAGTTTTGTAGGATTAAACCTTATTTGCAAGTTCTTTGAAACATGCATTTGTTTACATACCTTGAAGCCATGTGTTAATTTGTTTTGGGGCTTCTTCTCTTCCTACAGTGGAAGAAGGTTAATTCCCTACCTTTGTGCAGCACTTCTGTAGTCACTAAGGGTACTAGACACAGGTGTCTTGTTTTAATATATTTTCTTCCGCACATATGGACTGCTTGTGTGTGTGTGTGTGTGTGTGTGTATATTGTTTATATTGGTGGTGCACTTCCATATACTACCTCAATATTGGTGGTGCATGTAAGAAATTTCAACGCACCTAAGGATAGAAAATATTAGAGGGAACACTGCTTCTAAGAATGTGTGGTTAGTTTTTTATTTGGATGAATCTTCTCCAGTCTTCTAAAAATTTGACCGCCTGTAGGATACCATCCTACTGAAGACATAGTACATGTCTTTAGAGATTTAATCTTTTTATGAAAAGTCTTCCTGTTTTTCTAATGGCTTTTACATTTGTTAGTTCTGTATAAGTATTCTCTAGTTATACATTGTTATACCGTTTTTGTATCTTTTAATGATGGTTACTCTCTGTCAGTACAACGGGGAAAGGTTTATATACTTCAGGGCAAAAGAAATGAGCACACAGTGATAATCTTTTTTTTTTCTTCTAGTAATTTGAGAAGATGTGTGTTAAGAATAAATGCAAATGATTTTGCTAGTCACATACTAAACAATGTGAAAATGCTGATGACAGATTTTAGGCTGACTATCTTGGAGCGAAAGTCTATGTTACAATGCCAAATAATGTGCTTCACCATGAAACTCTTAGTTAGCATGTGTATGTAATGCTTGAGAAAGATGTCAGACTAGAAGGTAACACTTGTGTACTAGAGAGATTACAAAAAAAAACCCAAAACTTTTAAAAAGTTATATATTCCGGTTCTTACTGAAGATCCTGCAT